CCTGCCCCGACCCTTCGGCCCTCGCCCGGCCAAGCGGCGGCGGCACGTACTCACCGCCGCTCGCGGGCTCTCGGGCTTCGCCATGACTGAGGCGCCCCCGCCGCCCCCCGCCTCGACCGAGACTGACACGCGCTGCTGGCCGGGCGGGGGCGGCCTCCGGCGACCACCCGGCTGACAGAGCCCACCCCCGCCTCTCCCCACCAGTTGAGCGGCGCCCGCTGCCCCGCGGCGCCCCCGAGCTTCCTCCCCTTGCCTGGGGCGGCGGGTGGCAGCGACGGGCGGCGGCGGCACTTACCGGCGGCGCGGCCAGGCCCCCCTGTCAGCGCGGGGCCGGGAGGGAGAGGAGGGAGGAGTGGAGGGGCGCCGCCTCCCCCGCGCCGCCACGCACCCGCCTGATTGGCCCAGTTCACTCCCCCAGCGCGACCCCACCAGCCCCTGCGAGCGGCACTCCGGCAGCACCGGCGCGTCATTTGCATATTTGTGCCCGCGCCGCTGATTGGCCCGCGCTGGGAGGGGCGGCCGTGACCGCTGCAGCTCCTGCCGGTGTTCCTGCCGCGTCGGGCGACCGGAGAGGGAGGATCCCCTTCGCGGCTCCCCTCCCCTCAAGGGCCCAGCCCAACCTGGAGCGGAGGGTGGTGGGGGGGCGGGGTCGTCAGCCTGCTCCAACATGGCCCCGCCGCGCCGCCGACCCAATTGCCGGAGCGCTTACTCCGGGAGCTCCAGGCGGCCTCGGGGCGGGGAAGTGTGGGGGCCGGGCGCCCTCTGGCCGGAGCGCCAGGCAGTGCAGTGGCCCGGGCTCCCCTCGCCAGCCCCGCCGCAGCCGCCACGTCAGGCCGCGCCCTCGCGGCGGCCTCTCCCCTGCCCGCGGCCCCGCCGCCACGTCAGGCCCGGCAGACACGCCCCGGCCGCGAGCTGACCAGTGACGGGGTCGGCGCCGAGGTCACTCACCCGCTGGGCATCTCCCCGCCAGCCGGGGTCCGCCGAGGAACCACGAGGGTGTCCACGGCCTCCCTTTCCAAACGGCCGTGGATTCGGCCCCCCGTCCTCCTTTCGCTCGGGACCCCCAGTGACACACGCCTGTGCTGTACAATCGGGAGCAAGGACAGTGCAGCCGCGACGATGCGGCGATTCGGCCCCAAGCCCTGATCCAAGGCAGCGTGCACCTCCAGCGGCGGAGGGCTGCGGCTGAAACCGAGTCCGCCCATGTTCAGGCCCACGTTCCAAACAAACGGCACCGCTATGAAGGCAAAGAAAGGACAAACGAAAAAAAGGAGAGGGCGACGCTGGTCGAGGAGTAGGGGGTGGTTCTGGAAAACCGCCGGCCCGCGAAGGCGTGGGGACGCCTGGGTTCCCTCTCGCTCGGTCACGAGTGACCCGAGTGACCTACATTAAATCATAACGTGTCCCAGGGCCTCCGTTTTCCCTTCTGTAAAATGAAAAGGCTGGACAAATTTTCTAAAAGCCTCCCAGCTCTAAAATCCTACGGGTCTCTCTTGTCAGGTCCTGCGCTGGCTCTAATACCTAATTAAAACTTTAAAATCCATATTCGTAGGAGGGGGGGGGGGAAAATAACGGAATGTTAGAACTTGAGTCAGCCTTAAGTTTGTTTGAAACTGTTGACCATTTCAAATCTACTGTGGGTTGATGTTCAATTTGAATTCCTGTCTCCACTAAGAAGCATAGAGCCGTGTCCCTGTGCTTGTTTATGCCTGACCCGAATGGAATGGCTGTGGTAGACAGACTGTCAGTTGCCAAGTAGTTTCATTCTTTCTATTCCCCAATGAAGGCCCTCCGGAGTAGATCGACACATCCCTATTTAACTGAGATACTGCAAGGGCTGGGAGGAAACCCTGCTGAGACACAAGTTACAATTACAGCTTTGCGTCCCCTCAAGGATACTTAATAACAACCACATACTAGGATAAGAATGCAAAGAAACAGTTTCTCTCTGAGCTTCCGCGCACTACTTATTTAAATGCTACTTTAGTTTGCAAGTTCAACCTGTTGAGTCAAATGCAAGGGCAGTAACATCTCATTTATTCGGCATCCCAGGGGAAGCTATCCCATATGAATGAAATCTTTAGCTACTCTACAGACCTTTTCTCCCCAAGAAAACAGTTTTCTTCAGTTTTCTTCAGAAAAACAATTTTTTCTTGAAAATTACTTAAACTTGGTGATTAAGGATCATCATTACCATTCTCAACATTGTTGTGTTCTACTAGGATTAATGAGTGCCCTCAAAAGTATGTAGAGATCTATTTGTCCCTGTAATAAATGCTGTTTTTCATTATGTTAAAGTTACATCTGTTATTTTTCTGTTTTTGTGTTTGTGTGTCGCCTTCATCAGTACTGGGCCGATACTTGTCTGTTCTACCTATTCTTTCTTTCTTTCTTTTTTCTTCTTTTTTTTTTTTTTATGCCTCTGTGACTTAGAACTTAGACACAGATAAACTTTTATTAGTTTAGACTTTCAGGTTTTGGTAAAGATTTTCTATGGGGTTCTCCTGTGGGTTAAGTATATGAGTTTATGTGGCAACTGTTTTGACTGCTCAGTGACTGGTTTTTCCTTATTTCTTAAATCTTGGTGGTATTCTTGGTAACTGAAGTTTCTGGATATGTGCTTTCTGGAGAAGCTATTGCAAAGGATGGCTCCAAATCCTAGAATTTATAGGTTAGATCAGTAAATACTAGCCTTTGAAATTCAAATTGACAAGACTCAATATCATCAACAACATCAAAATATAATACAGCAACCCTGACCTACTATTTCCATCAGGCGATGGACTGCCCAGAGCCAGGGGGTAACAATGCTCTCTAGGTCCCTTGGAAGTCTGTGCTACGACAGAGAGTGGTTCTCCACACCCTGAATGAGGCATTTTCAAGTATATCCAATAGGTACCATTTACTGAAATCTAACTGGTCCCAGGCATTGTGTTAAGGGCTCATACTTGTTATTTCATTTTACTTTCACAACCACTCTATGAGAAAGGGATTATTTTTTCCATTTTATAGATGAAGAGGTTCCAAAATCTTGCCTTGGTTACCCAATCATTCAGTGGCAGAGATAGGATTCAAACTTAGAACTGATTGGACCTAAAGCCTGGAACTCGTAACCATTATACTATATCCCTCCCTTCCGTCTGAGTTTCCAATTCTGTGTTCATCAAGAAATCTTTTAGTAATTAACTTGGCACCTTGTAAAGGGGAATTCCTGTATAGGGATTTTGGTTGAAGCCACCAAAAAGGAAATATCCCAAAATGTATGTATCAACTTGGTATGTTGCATGTTTGAGGAATATGAACCAATGCCCTAGTACCTGTTCACTTTTGGAGAAAACTGATACAATTAAGATCCTAAAACTGCAAAACTAAGGATTAGCCCTCCCCCCCCAATACCCCCACCCCCCCAGTGAGACCTACAGAATAGTCAAAACAACCTTGAAAAAGAAGAAAGTTGGAGAACTCACACTTCCTGATTTCAAAAGTTACTATGATGTTACAGTAATTGAGACAGTATGCTACTGGCATAAGGATAGACATACAGATCAATGGAATAGAATTGAGATTCCAGAAATAAACCTTCACATTTATGGTCAATTGATTTTCAACAAGTGGGCCAACACGTTTAAATTTAGAAAGACAAACTGGATAGGCAAATGCTAGAGAATGAAATTGGATCCCTTCCTCACACCATACACAATAAATCAAAAGGGATCATAGACCTAAATGTAAGATGTAAAACTATAAAACACTAACAAAAAGACCTAGGAGTAAATCCTTGGGATCTTGGGTTAGGCAATGGTTTCTTTTATATGATGCCAAAAGCATAAGCAACCAAAGAAAATATAAATAAACTGGACTTCATCAAAATTTAAAACTTTGGCACAGGCAACCAAAGAAAAAAATTGATAAGTTGAACATCAAAATAAATATTTGGGCTTCAAAGGACACCATTAAGACAGTGCAAAGAAAGATACCTACAGAATGACATAAAATATTTGCAAATCATATATCTGATAAGGGTCTAGTAACTGGAATGTATAAAGAACTCTTACAACTCAACAATTAAAAGACAACCCAATTTGAAAATGGGCAAAGTATTTTGGAATAACATTTCTCCAGTGAGATATACAAATAGCAAATACGTGCATAAAAGGTGCACATCATTAAGTTACTAGAGAAATGCAAATTAAAACCACAATGAGATACCACTTCACGTCCATCAGAACAGCTAGAATAAAAAAGACAGGCAATAACAACTGCTGATAAGGATGTGAAGAAATTGGAACCCTCATACATTGTTGGTGGGAATATGAAATAGTGCAGTCATTTCAAAACACAATTCTTTAAAAAGTTAAACATAGGGGCCAGCCGAGTGGCACGTTGGTTAAGAGCTGGCTTGGGAGCGTGAGCTCTGAGCAACAGGGCCGCTGTTTCAGATCCCACATGGGCCAGTGACACTGCCCTCTGCTGCTAAGATGGTGAACAACAGCTCGACCTGGAGCTGGGCTGCTGTGAGTCGCCAGCAACAGCATGGACTGCTGTAAGCTACTGTGAGTTGCCGGAAGCCAGCGTGAGCTGCCGTGAGCGGTTGTCCAATGGCCAGCCACTGATCTGCCTCGCCTGGGAAGAGCGCAATGATCACAATACCAACAATGGCCAGTGAAGTGACATCCTCGACAACTAGACTGAAGAACAAAAAGGACAGCAGCTTGTCTGTACCCCTTCCCCGATTCCCCAACACTGTTCCCTCCCCCAATTCCCCAATAAAATCTTTAAAAAAAAAATTGTTCTAAAATTAGATTGTGGTGATGGTGGCACAACTGTGGATATATTAAATACCACTGAAGTGTCTTTTATAGTAAGTAAATACTACCTCAATACAGTTATTTTTTTTTTTTTAAGATTTTTATTGGGGGAATTGGGGGAATGGGAACAGTGCTGGGGAATTGGGGGAAGGGGAACAGACAAGTTGCTGTCGTCTTGTTCTTCAATCTAGTTGTTGAGGACGTTGCTTCACTGGCCCAAGTTGGCACCATCATTGCGCTCTTCTCTGGCGAGGCAGATCAGTCGCCGGCTTCTGGACGGCCGCTCACTGCGGCTGCTGGCCGCTCACGCTGGCTGCTGGCTACATACGGTAGCCCATGGCAACCCACTGCCACAGGGACTGCAGCCTACGCCGTCGCCGGCGACCCATGGCAGCCCAGCTCCAGGTTGAGCTGTTGTTCAGCATCTTAGCTGTAGAGGGCAGTGTCACTGGCCCTCATATGTGGGATCCGAACCGGGGCCCTCTGGCATCCCAAGCGAGTTCTTAACCATCGCGCCACTCGGCCGGCCCCAATACAGTTATTTTTTTAAAGTAATGTCTAGACAGCAATTTCCAACTTTGTTATATT